AAGGTCACATGCAGATTCACTGGTTTTCTTTTCTTTTCTTTTTTAAAGTCAGTCATGGGGCTTGAACTCTGGGGCTTGGGCGCTGTCCCTGTGCTCTTCAGCTCAAGGTGAGCGCTCTACCGCTTGAACCACAGTGCCACTTCTGGTTTTCTAGTGGTTTGTTGGAGATAAGAGTCTCATGGAGTTTCCTGCCAAGGCTGGCTTTGAACTGTGATCCTCAGATCTCAGCCTCCTGAGTAGCTAGGATTACAGGCATGAGCCACCAGCGCCCAGCTCACTAGTTTCATATCAACTATTTCACTATATAACCTCTACCTACTCCTCTTCAAGTACTCTTTTTTTTTTTCCCCGGTTGGTCCTGGGGCCGGAACTGACAGCTGGGCGCTGTCCCTCAGCTCAAGGCTAGCACTCTACCTCTTGAGCCACAGCACCACTTCCGGCTTTTTTTCTTGTTTATGTGGTGCTGAGGAATCAAACCCAGGGCCTCATGCATGCAAGACAAGCACTCTACCACTGAGCCACCTTCCCATCCCCTCTTCAAATACTCTTAAAACAGAGATACTGTTATTCAAAATCATGAATGAAGTCTAAGCATAGGTAATCTTTAGTTAACTTCATATAAAGGGTAATCATTTAAATTAACATTTAACTTTTAAACATCCTAGCTTAATAAAGTATATTTATTAAGTATTATTTAGCTCATTTATTTTTTTCAAAAAAAGTGTAACAAAATCTACAATAACTCCTTTTTTGTCTCCCTAGATTCAATCATCCTGAAATCAATTTTTTTTTTTTGGGTCCGGTCGTGGGGCCTGAACTCTGGGCCTAGGCACTGTCCCTCAGCTCTTCAGCTCAAGGCTAGCGCTCTACCACTTGAGCCACAACGCCACTTCCGGCTTTTTTCTTTTTGCTTATGTGGTGCTGAGGAATTGAACCCAGGGCCTTGAGCATGCAAGGCAAGCGCTCTACCACTGAGCCACCTTCCCAGCCCTGAAATCAATTTTTTTTTTATTGTAAAGATACTATACAGAGGGTTACAGTTACATGAGTAAGGTAATGAGTACACTTCCTATTGAGCATTGTTACCCCCTCCATTGTTTGAAATCAATGTTTTTAAGTATACATGAAACATGCACATACTATTTTGTTCATAGTATATGGTTATTAAACCTTTTTCCACTTAAGATTTTTTTCTAATATTGTTTGGATACTTATTTAATACATTAAATCTACTCAGCTTTGAAAATAGTTCATTGTTTTGGATAAAGTCTCTTATCTGTTTTAAGCTAACAAAGTAAATGCCATAAACTGAGTGATTTAAACAACAAAAGTTATTTTTTCACTGTTGTGGGGGCTGAAAGTCCAAGGTCAGGGTGCCTGCCAGCTTGATCAGGCACTTGACTTGCAGTGAAGAGGGCAAGGAGCTCTCTGGATTCTCTTCTCATGAATACACTAATCCTACTTGTAAGGTATCCACCTAGATGGCATCATCTAATTACTTCCTCTAAGGCCTAATTACTTCCTTGAAGCCTATCTCCAAATACAGTCAAACTGAGAACTGGTGCTTCAAAATAGCACTAAGTAGAGGAGACTACGATTCAGGCCAAAGTCAGGAATGTGAGTTTTCTCAATAAAGCATGTGATAAGATTTTGAAGCAAGTGACAAAAATCTTAGCTTGTGAGAAAAGGCAGGGGCAGAAGAAGGGAGTTTACAGGAAAATTTGAGCATGGAGACATGAATGTGCTATAGCAAGCAACACTGCAGCTCGGGCTAGTGAGGTGGATTAGTGGTAGAGTACTTGCCTCGCTTGCATGAAGCCCTGGGTTTGATTCCTCAGTACCATATAAACAGAAAAAGTCTGAAGTGGCACTATGGCTCAAATGGTAGAGTGCTAGCCTTGAGCAAGAGGCTCAGGTACAGTGCTCAGGACCTAAGTTCAAGCCCCAAGACTGGCAAAACAAACAGAAAAACCCCAAAACACTGCAGATCCCATTTGAAGTTTGTATTTATGAGTTTGTAAAAAAAAAAAAGTTTAACCAGGAATAGAATTTAAGCACATCAGAATAGAAGGACAAGCAATGCTTTTGAAAGTTGTACAGAGTATGATAGACAATGGCAAGAGTAGGAATGGACATGAATATAGAAAGGTGTTTTTTTTTTTTTTTTTTTTTTGGTCGGTCGTGGGGCTTGAACTCTGGGCCTGGGCGCTATCCCTCAGCTCTTCAGCTCAAGGCGAGCGCTCCACCGCTTGAGCCATAGCGCCACTTCCAGTTTTCTAGTAGTTTATTGGAGATCAGTGTCTCATGGACTTTCCTTCCCCAGGCTGGCTTTGAACTGTGATCCTCAGGTCTCAGCCTACTGAGTAGCTAGGATTACAGCTGTGAGCCACCGGCGCCAGGCTCATGTTTCATAATTTATTGTTGTGTATTTACCTATTGCAAAACTCAGATTAAAATGAGCATTTTTGTCGGGCGCTGGTGGCTTCACGCCTGTAATCCTAGCTACTCAGGAGGCTGAGATCTGAGGATCATTGTTCTAAGCCAGCCTGGGCAGGAAAGTCCATGAGACTCTGATCTCCAATAAACCACTGGAAAACTAGAAGTGGTGCTGTGGTTCAAGCGGTAGAGCACTCACCTTGAGCTGAAGAGCTGAGGGACAGCACCCAGGCCCAGAGTTCAAGCCTCAGGACCAACAAAAAAATAAATGAGCATTTTATTTTGGCCTTAAGGCATCTGAGAAGTGTTCTGTTGCATTTTGTGTCCTCTGGAGCAACTGGTGCTTAAGAATCAGTTTCCAACATGGTTTCTTCATTCATGTATGACAGTCTCATTCTTCAGAGCCTCTCCATGTGGCATAAGTTTTCCCAGAATGACCTTACATGGTATCTGGCCTTCTAAGAGTAAGTGTTCCAAAGAAAACATGGAAGATGTAAAACCAGTTAAAGGCCAATTCTGGGACTGTGTGTCAGTTTTACTATACTTTACTGGTCAAATCAGTCACAGAACCCACCCAGATTTGAGAAGACTCTACTTATTGATAGGGAAAAGCAAGTCCATGGTACAAATGAGGATAAACATAGGAAATATCTTCTCAAAACCCTTACAGTATCATGAGAGAGGTAGTTACTATTATCATTATGATTTATATCATTATGATATAAAACAAAGCCCAAACCAGCATGGTGGTATATTACCTCTCAGCACTCAGGAGGTTAAGGCAAGAGGATCTTGAGTTTGAGAGTATCAGAGCTACCTACAGTGCAATCTCAATCCTAAAACCAACCAACAAAAAAGAAAAGAACAAAAACCAAAGCATGTATGAACAGAAAGGAAACAATTTTGACTGGAAAACAGGTATAAAATTTCATTGAAATATAATTTTTATAGACTAAATTTAGGGAATAAAATAAGCAGACAGACATAAGGGACAGACATCTGTCTGGCATGTTTGGGAAATACTAAAGAATATAGTGTGGGTAAAGAGAACAGAGGATAAAAATAATTACAGATATCATGGATATCATGGTAAGTTTAGCTTTATTTTGTAGGTATTAGAGAATAATTTGAGATTTCTAAGGTAGAAAACTAAGTGGAAGGTGGCGTGTACAGGAAGATCTAGGATGATATGAACATGGAGGACTAATAATATATGAAAGATTTACCAATAATAATAATTCAAATAACAAAAGCAGGCCAAAAGCTGCAAATATACTTTAGAGGTTAATTATGTTAGACTGACAATATCCTTAATTGATTATAGCTAAACACAAGAAAGTATCTTACATATGTATACATATATATCTTTTATTGTCTTTAAGTAGTTGTAATTTAACAAAGCAGTTTATGAATACAATGCATTTTGATCAATGCCACTCCTTTAGACAAGTATCTTAAATACCTATAATTTATTAAATCTAAAAGAATAGAGCTAGTTACATAATTTCTATAAAATTTGTGACTTCAAATAAATAGTACTTATTTTAAATTTCATACAAGGTGGGATATTTAACATTAAGCATGCTTCCATGGTTACCTAATCAAAATACTTCTATTTATTATTAGGTTGGCACACAGTTCAATATCAATTTCATTATCCAGATAAAAACTAGGTTAAACATGGTTAAAATGCATTTATAAAACAATTATTTGTGATTCTGGATCAACTTTTATTGAGCACCCCCTATTCTCCAAGTCCCCCAAAATGTTTATTTTACTGTATTCTTAAAAAAAGAGGGCTGGGAATGTGGCTTAATAGTAGAGTGCTTGCCTAGCATGCATGAAGCCTTGGGATCGATTCCTCAGTACCACATAAACAGAAAAAGCTGCAAGTGGCTCAACTGGTACATTGTTAGCCTTGAGCACAGAGAGGCTCAGGGACAGAGCCCAGGCCCCAAGTTCAAGCCCAGGGCCAGCAAATGAGAGAAAGAGAAAGAGAGAAAGAGGGAGAGAGAGAGAGTGCACGAGACAGCGTGTGAGAGAGGTGAAAGTATTGAAGAGACTGATAAAACTTGGCTCAACACCATTGGTAATTCAATTACACTGAAAAATTTCAATATATATATATGTATTTTTCCAATTTCTATTGTTAGCTTATTTTCTTAAATTCAGTATGGATATAAATAGTATTTCTATTTATAGCAATACATCTTCCATAAGATGGAAACCTAAAGTATCTTCCTAAAGGTCATCATCACTTATAGTTTCTTCCTTATAAATTTTTGTAAAATATGCAGAAGAGGGAATGTATAATAATAAATACAACACTATTATGCATACCAGGTGCCAGTGGCTCATGCCTGTAATCCTAGCTACTCAGGAGGCTAAGATCTGAGGAGTGGGGTTCAAATCCAGCCTGGGCAGGAGAGTCTGTGAGACTCTTATCTCCAATTAACCACCCGAAAATGGGAAGTGGTGCCAGGTGGTAAAGCGCTAGCCTTGAGCTGAAGAGCTGAGGGACAGTGCCCAGGCCCAGAGTTCAAGCCCCATGATCGACCAAAAAAAAAAAAAAAAAGCAGCATACCTATTATGAAATATACACAAACTATGATTTCTAAAATAGACATACATATATTTAAAATTGGTACAAATATTACTTTATAAATACAGGATGCTGAGAAACTCAAATGCCTATATTTTAATGGCCAACTCTATAGGGAGTATTGAAATATTTATTTTCTCAAAAGTACTCTCCTCAGAGCTGAGTTCAACTGCAATAAAATTATAATAGTATTTTTCTTTACCTTATAGATATGTAACTAGAAAAATGATTAAATAATAAAAGCATATGCATATTGAGGATATTCCAATAGTTGTCAAATTCTAACCATCTTCTATATATTCTTATAGAAAATGTTTTAATAAAAGTATCTTAATAGGAAGAGAAGGAACTATACACAGACTAATGTGGTCTACTAAGTGCCCTTATTTTACAAATTACAAATAAGGGAATGAAGCTTAATGTCTACCCACAGCTCTGTATAAAGCTAAGCAACTACTGTACAACTGGTCTCCATTACCAGTCCTTGAGGTGCAATCTTAACAGTTGTTTGCCTAATTCATATGCTAGTGGTGGAACTGGGATCTATTTGGGGCTTTCTCTTTGTTCTCTCACTTTATAACTAAACTTACTGTATTTACTCACTGTAATTTTACTGTAATTTGGAACTCTCCAATTTTTCTCTTACTGCAGGTATTACAGAAACAGAATGCAGTTCATAACAACTTTCATAGCTTCATTAAGACAAACACTATCTGTAGGAGAAAGATCACTTTATGCATAATTTGGTTTAGCTAGAAAAAGCTAATACAGCCTTAAAACTTTACTCTATATCATAGTAACTTCATATGTGGTGAAGTGATTTTCTATAATGTTGATGTTTTCTTCAGATAGACAGTTTTCCTGTTTTAGCTGGCTTATAAGGGCTTCCAAAGACTTCCATCTTCCTAGAGTTTGTTGCTCTTGTAGCTCAAGAAGAGTTATCTTTGAATGCAGCTTAGAGATTTTTTGCCAAAGATGTTCCTTATTTATGTCTTGTCTGCAGTAAGAGTGTTCCGTTTGTAAAATATCTACACTATGCTCTATATTCTTATATGAGGAGTCTTCAATGTCTATGTCTTCCATTCCTACGGTTTCATTTTGTGCTAGAACAGATGAATTAACTGCAGGTTTAAAATTGTTTGTGGGTACAAAAATGGCAATAACAGATTCTTTATTTGTGCTTAAATCTTCAACAGTGCTGATTAAGAATTCATTTTCCTGTACTGACTTAATTTCAATTGAATTAGGATTAGCAAGATGACTGGTAGCTATTTCGAGAATTTCTTGGGTTTCCAAAGATTGATGGTGAATACCTTCTGAATTTGAAGTTGTTAAAGTAATAGTTGTAGAATTTAGATTCTCATAAGATGTGTGAAAATCACTTACACCTAAATCTTGGTTAATCACTGCTTCTAAGACAGAATTTGTCTTTTCAGCATCTTGTTTAACTAGATTAAGAGTTAATATGTTAGTTTGCATACTTGCTATTTTAGGAGCTGGTGGCTTCAGTATGGCAGGCAAATCAAGTAAGTCTGTGTTTTCAGGGAGTATATCTATTTTAACTGTATTTTTCTTTGCTTCATTTGATACAAATGATTCTTCGAGCTTGGCTTTTAGACACATTTCTTTCTCATCTTCCAATTTTTTCTTCTGAGATTTTTTTTTACAAGATTCTTTTCCCTAGAAAATAATATTTCAAATTCTAAAAAGGGCATACTTGTAGACTTACTCTCTTACTAGTACTAAGTTTGAGCAGTATACTGGTCTGGCAAACTTATTTAAACTGGTCTAAGTAGATAACAACTTAAATATATCTTAAAATATTTTTTTTAACTCCAGTTGAAGCACTGGTGGCTCATTCCTATAATCCTAGCTACTCAGGAGGCTGAGATCTGAGGATCGTGGTTCGAAGCTAGCCCAGGCAGAAACGTTTTCATGAGACTCTTATCTCCAATGAATCACAAAAAGCCAGAAGCAGAGCTGTGGCTCAAGTGGTAGAGTGCCAGCCCTGAGCAGAAAAACTCACAGACAGTGCTGTAGTCCTGAGTTCAAGCGCTACAACTAACAAAAAACAAGCAAAACCCTAGAGTTGACATATGATAGAGTAATTTCAGGTTATTTAAATGACCAGTAAGAAAAGTGTAACCATTAATTTTAAAAATTTCAAAAATGTAGTGCTTTTTGCTGCTCTCAAACGGTTCCACTTTAATTTTTAAATTCATCATACTTTTAGTAAAAGGAGAAAATATTCTCAAGTATTTTTTTTCCTAACAGTAATCTTTACCTCTTACTCTTTACACCTGATGATAACCTGTCAATTTGGATTTGCCACCCTGTTCTGCATTACCCGTCTCTCCACTATTCCAATACCTGATAGTCTTCAGGCAAAGAAAATATTGTTGGAATTGCAGTTTGTTTTAAATAACGGATACCCCATCTGATGTCAAGAGAGTCAGGAGTAAAATGGTCACTACACAGGAACTGGTATTTACTGGGAACCCAAGACTCCCGTTTCATATTCTTTAACCACTTTTCAAGTCTTTCTTTGTCATGAAGAGGAAACCTGAAATTAAAAAAAGAAAAAAAAAAGAAAAAAACTTTGTCTTACAATATATCCACATAACCTATTTGTCCCATGCTGCAAAAGCAAGGCCATCATCTCTACTAAATGAAAGCATCTTTATGACAATGACTATGGAGCCAAAGCTTTGGTCTGAAAATGGATTGGAAAACGTAATTCAGAGATCCTTTAAGGAAAATACATTACTTCAAAGAATCTAGTCAGTTTTCTATGGATAGGTAATTTGCCTAAAATCAGCCCATTGTGTTATAAATTCTCTACAAATTTCCATCCAAATGTTTCATATATAGCCCAGGTGGCTTCAAATTCCCCTTATTCTTGCCTCAATTTATATTAGCATTTTTAAAATAAGTAGATACTCAATTCACACAAATCAGCTGAATAAAACTACTATTAATATGGTTAGCTGAAGAAAACTATTAATATTTTTCTCTTTTTTTTTTACTAGCATCTGCTTCATTTATACCTATATGTAATTTAGTCTGCTTCTAGACTTCTGTAACAGCCTAGAAACTCTTAACTTTAAGTTCTAAAATAGGAATTCTGATGCAAAAAAAGTTAATTACATTGTAAAGGTCAGACTCAGAAAGGTATGGTACCACACACCTGTAATCCTGGCAACTAGGTAGATTGAGGCAGAGGATTAAGTGTTGGGAGGGTCATCCTGTGCTACACAGTAAGACTGTCTAAAAAACAAAAGGAGCCAGTGGCTCAAGCCTGTAATCCTAGCTACTCAGGAGGCTGAGATCTGAGGTCGCAGTTTAAAGCAGCAGGGCCAGGGAAGTCTGTGGGATTCTAATCTCCAATTAACCACCAGAAAACTGTAAGTGGCGCTGTGGCTCAAGTGGTAGAGGACTAGCCTTGTGCTGAAGAGCTCAGGGACAGAGCCCAAGCCTGGAGTTCAAGCCCCACAACTGACCAAAAAAAAAAAAGAGGAAAACATCAAGACTAGACTCACATTAAATAACTGATATTTAACCTAATGATACTCTATATAAAACACTATATAATTCCCTGTTTTCATAGTAATGTGATTTTTCACATAAAGTATAGATATTATATATTCTTTCCCATCCCAATTGGGTTTATGCTTTGTGTATTTTACAGTTTATAGAAAAGAGTCTCCAAATTTAGACAAGTTTATAAGATTCTAGGAGAAAAGAATATTATGTACATTTTAGGAAATAATTTTTAACACTGACACCTTAAGTTACCAAACCTTCAAAAAATATACTTTGATTATATATTCTCTCCATCATCAAACCAAGGGACTTGCACTTGTGCTCTACCTCTTAGCTGCACCTTCTTTATGAGTATCTTTATTGGTAACTAACTGAACTTCATTGCTTTCCTCAACCAATAAGCTTTAAGAAATCTCCTAGAAGGGGCTGGGAAGGTGGCTCAGTGGTAGAGTGCTTGCCCTGTATGCCTGAGGCCCTGGGTTTGGCTCCTCAGCACCACATAAGCAAAAAGAAAAAAGCTGGAAGTGGCGTTGTGGTTCAAGTGGTAGAGCGCTAGCCTTGAGCTGAAGAGTTGAGGGACAGCGCCCAGGCCCAGAGTTCAGGCCCCACAACCGGACCCAAAAAAAAAAAAAAGAAATCTCCTGGAGTCTCCTAATCAACACCGTTTATCGTCTATTTATTCAATTTGTTTGATGATTTCGTTTCACTGTTGTATGCAATTCCTTCAAATGCATAACATATTAACAGAAGTTCCTTTTTTTTTTTTTTTTGTCGGCTGTGGGGCCTGAACTCTGGGCTTGGGTGCTCTTCAGCTTACGGCTAGCACTCTACCACTTGAGCCACAGTGCCATTTCCAACTTTTTCTGTTTATGTGGTGCTGAGGAATTGAACCTAGGGCTTCATCTATGCAAGGCAAAGCACTCTACCACTGAGCGAGCCACCTTCCTAGCCTAGAAGTTCCTTTTTTTTAAAAGATGGAGCTTACTACAGCCCAGGCTGGTCTCAATCTTACAGTCCTCCTGCTTCAGCTTCCCAATGTCTGACATTACAGGTATAAGCCCACAGTATAAACTGAACACTGTAGGCTATAAATTTATACTACATCTTAAAATAATGTTAACATGAGCAAATATGATTCTTCAAGTTTGGTCCTATTTAGAGAATAGAATCAATTTTTATTTTGTATCCCATAAGCTCACTTTAAATTTACATCTTGAGGAAAAATTTTTTTTTATAATACCATTGTGGTACAAAGAAATTCAATTTTGGGGTGGGTTCTGGATTATGTCTCCTCAAATTCAAGGCCAAATAGGAAAATGGTACTTTGCTACAAACCTTCTCAGAGCTAGAGCCATTAATATCCTAGTGTTTGCCTTTCAAGTGACCATGGCTTAGGTTTATTCCTCCCAAAATATCTTGTCTATATTTTGCAAAATGGATTCAAGGAAGCTAATCATGCAAAAATTATATAAATTACTTAGATTTATCTGTTGTTTTTTTTCCCATTACTTGAGGTAAAGGGAAGCACCCAGCCATTAGTAAATATCAACTTCTTGATTAAACTCAAAGGAGATTTACTAAATAACGTGAAAAAATTAAGGAACCCTCCCCACCCAAAATAGAGAACTAGGTAGCTCTAGCTGAAACAATTTTTTTTAATACGTTATAAAAAGGAAATGGGGGGGTGGAGGCATGGCTCAGTTGGTAGAGCACAAGACAATGAGCAAAAGCGTTAGGTGCCAAATTTAAATCTAAGTCTAGGATATTAAAAAAAGAAAAGAAAAAAAAAGGTAAAAGAAAAAAAGGGCCTGGAGCTGGTGGCTCACTCCTGTAATCCTAGCTATTCAGGAAGCAGACATCTTAGGATCGCAGTTCGAACCAGCCCAGGCAGGAGAGTCATTGAGACTCTTATTAACCACCAGAAAGCCGTTAGTGGCGCTGTGGCTCAAAGAGGTAGAGCGCTAGCCCTGGGGGGCGGGGGGGGAGGAGAGGGGAAGCTGGGGGGAGATCGCAGGCTGAGTTCAAGTCCCATGACCAACAACAAAGGAAATGGAATACATAAGTAAGCTGATTTTCAGACTTCTCATACATATTATTCTTGTATTTATTTATTTTTTTTGGGGTCTGGTCGTCTGGGCCTGGGCGCTGTCCCTCAGCTCTTCAGCTCAAGGCTAGGGCTCTACCACTTGAGCCACAGCGCCACTTCCGGCTTTTTTCTTTTTGCTTATGTGGTGCTGAGGAATCGAACCCAGGGCCTCAGGCATGCGAGGCAAACACTCTACCACTGAGCCAACTTCCCAGCCCTATTCTTGTATTTAATAACATTCTACTTATTATTTCTACTTTACAAATGGAAGATATTGAAACATGGTCATTCATTTGCAAAGGAATGGAACCTAGATTTGGAACCACAGCTCCCAAATGACACAGCATCGCTTCCTTGTCTTTCTGAATGCAAACCAGTATTCGTATAGTTTGACGGAAGTATCTCGTAGTTTTAGTCACCCAGAATATATTTACCTGCGCCCAGCAGGAAACATGTTAAAATCCTGGGTATGACACCAACTTTTCAAGGTTACTAATCAAGCTTTGGTTTCTGTTTTTCTCACGGGGGTTGGGGGGGTTAAATTCTGTGCAACTTCGCCCTTCCTCACAGCAGGTCAGGTGCACCTTAAGGCGTGGGTAGTGCAGTTCAATGAGAGCTTCCGCGAGGTGCGATCAAGGCTCCCAGAACCACGACCGTGGACCATGCACAACCTTCCTGTCTTACCAACCCTTCAACGGTGTGCCCAAGGTTACACTACATGCAAGCCTCGGCGCCCGCTCTGCGCGGGAAGTTGTCTCACTCAGAGCAGTTAGGCGGTACCTGGGCCCCGGCTCCACAGACCACAGGCCCGGGGCTTACAAAGGTGACGCTGACGCCACGGCCTACGAGCTGACTTACGGGTAAAAGCTCAACTTCCGGCCTTTATTGTTCCGTCCCCTGCGATTCTTACAGCATATCGCAGCGCAATAGCGGGGCATCACTTGAGTAAGGTCCTGGGGTGACCCCAGTTGGCAAAGGGCGCAGACCAGCCCTCCTAGCTTAGGCGGAGCCGCAAGACAGGCCGCCGGCGCCACTGCGCCTGCGCCAGAAACAGTTCCGGAGAGGGGTGCCGGAACCTTGCATTCACTTCCGCCCCCGTTAGTATAGGAACCGCCCTTTGCGGGGGGTGTAGCAGGAAGTGACGCGCAGGCCGAGCGGCAACAACAGTTTTCCACGTGCGCGTTGGGCGCCAGAGTCAGGTGGGGAGGCGGGAGCCAATGGGGAAGCGTTTCGTGTAGGTCCTCTCCCGCGGTGGAGGCGCCAGCCGGGGACACCCGCCAGTAGGGAGCGGGCTGAGAGGGGAGGCGGTGGTGTCCTCGGCCCCGGGAGCGAGAGGTCGGTGTGCCGGTGACCGTGAGGCGTGCGTCGGCCCAGGGAGGCCGCGGAGGCTGGGGAGGGTGGCCGGGCCGCCCACCTGAGCGCAGAAGCCGCGCGTGTGCTCCTCCCGGGCCTCGGCTTGGGGGGCGCGGAGCCGCGGTCGGGGGAGGAGCGAGTCCGGGGTGGCGCGGACCGGTCGGCCGCCCAGTGCGGTTCTCGGCGTCCGCGCGGTGGTGGCCGGTTGCCTCGTCCTCGGCCTCTCCAGCGGCTTCGGGCTGCGAGGTTCGGACGAAGGGACTGTCGGGAGATGGCCGGACCACAGTGGTGCATTTTGTGCGTTGGGCTGTGTCACGGGCGTTCTCAACTGTCAGCTTCGCCGAGGGCCGGGTTTCGGGCCTCGGGGAACCCTGCCGGTAGGAGTCGGGGGGACGCCGGGCCTGTGCCTTTGCGAGAGGCCTGGGTGGTCCAGCGCAGCCGGCTGCTGGGGGGGGGGGTAAGGCCCACCCAGGCCGCCGGGAAAGGAGATGGAGGAGCAGCTTGTGGTTTTCTTCCTTCTCTTTGCTGTTTCGACGTGAGAAATCTGGTTAATGGAAAAGTTTGTTCATTAAAACTAACACACGTTCAGCTTGAATCCGTGGAGTAACGTTTAAGAAACCAGTAAGGTGCCAGTCAGTTCAGACCCGCCCTTTGAGTAGGGAGCAGCCGCGGGCGATGGGGCGTCCGTAGGACAAGTTGGAGGCTGTACTTGATCCTTGAACCTCCTTTGACAGGAGGTTGTACTCGTGACTATGAGTAACTCTGGAAAAAAAAAAGTAATCCACCTGCTAATTAGTAATGCTGCGAAAAGGCCACAGGAGAGGAAGGCAGGCAGTTTCCATGGGCCATAGTGCTTTTTCATCAGCCTTGTTATGTCATCACGGGTTACCAAGCTCTCCTGTGGTTTAGTATTCAAAAAACCGGGGCACTTTATTATGGATATCAAGTCAGAAGATACATGTTACCAAAAGTCCTATGTCAAAACTTACTAAAGATTTTCAGGGTAAGAAAACTTTTGTAACTACTGAGAAGTTTTGAGAATAACTTTTTTGCTGGCAGCCTTAGGAGAAATCTTAAATTCTATTGTATTTTAAGTAGAATTTATCCATATACCTTTTCTCCCGAAAAAAGCAAATAGAATTGAAAAACTCCCTCCTGGCCACCACCATTCCTCTAATAGTCTTTCCAAACACAGAATTTTTTTGATAACTGAATTTTACTAGATATTGTAGTTTCTTTACATGCAAGCCTAGTTTGGAAGAAAAGTAAAAAATGCCAATAGGAGTTTGGGGGAATCTCAGTTTTCCTTATAGGAATTCATATTCTGAGGCTTAGTGTAATGGTAGAGACTTGTAAGCTCAGCAGGAAGAGGAATTCAAGGCTAAGGGAAACGCTGTGTCAAAAAAATTCATATTTGAATAATGTCTTTAAATGTCAGAGAAAAAAATTAAAAAGTTAACTACCAAGATAATGTTATGTCTAGATTAGTAGGTATTTTCTCAGAACAGCATTCATTCAGGTCCTTAATTTCATTAGGTGAGCCAAAGACTAAAAGTAGAGAATCTTAATTCACAAACACTTAACACTTACAATGCAATAGAATGTGTGTATAAAATACTGTATATATGATCTTTTGAATACTGCATTAAATTGTTGACTTTCTTCTAAAAGAAAAATGCCCTAAAATTAGTTCTATAGATAATTTTTCTTCTTTCTTTTTGTAGGACATTAGAAATGGCTACACCCCAGTCAGTTTTCATCTTTGCAATTTGTATTTTAATGATAACAGAATTAATTCTGGCCTCAAAAAGCTACTATGATATCTTAGGAGTGCCAAAATCTGCATCAGAACGCCAAATCAAGAAGGCCTTTCACAAATTGGCCATGAAGTACCACCCTGACAAAAATAAGAGCCCTGATGCTGAAGCAAAATTCAGAGAGATTGCAGAAGGTAAGTAAATGACTTTCCTGAGGTCTCAAGGGTATAAGTAATAAGTAGCATGATGCCAAGAAATCTGTTTGTTTCTGAAGATATATGCAGATGGCAGGATGAATGGGATTTACATTTAAATATGGTGAGGTTCTGCCATTCTTATAGCAGAATGTTTTTTAGCGAAAGACTAGATGAATTTTAATTGATAATTTTATTAGTATATGAAAATGTATTGTTTCATTCTTTTATTTATGAAATCACTGTTGTTTCTTAGGAAAAAGTATTTGAGTACCCAAAGTTCTTATTCTATATTTAAAAATGTTTGGCTTCATACCTGTTTCTAAAACAAAATATACTTTGGAAACATTCAATAATTATTGATGGGAGGTGGTAACTGACTTAGGGAGTTAGAAATTAAGGTACTTCAATTAGTAAGGAAATGGAAAATCCAAATTCCTACTAACTTCATATTTGATCACTAATTCTTTTTTTTTAACTGTATTTTTTTTTGTCTTTTATTATTTGGTACTGGGGATCGAACCCAGGATATTGCACTTGCTAGGCAAGAGCTTTGCCATTGAGCTGCATCCCAGCCCAAAAATAATTTTTAGTGTTGTTTTAAAAATTTTATTTCTTGATCACTAATTCTTTAACATAAATATGGTTTTCAGCAAGTAATATTAATAGCTCTAATGGTTGTCCACATGCTGTGATAGTAACATTTATGTAATAATTACTTGGTATATACTAGAGTTATGACTGCTGTCGACAAGCTAGCAGTGAATAAGGCAAAGTTCTTGCCTTGTATAACTTCTATTGTTAACTTATGTTTATAATGTGCTTTTAACTTGTGATGTAAGTTGAAATTAATGTATTTGGAGAGGTTTAAATATATGTAATTTTGAATTTTTTTTCTTGGCTTACTAAAATGTTATTATCTTTTTCAGCATATGAAACTCTTTCAGATGCTAGTAGGCGAAAAGAGTATGATACACTTGGACACAGTGCTTTTACTAATGGTAAAGGACAAAGAAGTGGAAGTCCTTTTGAGCAGTCATTTAACTTCAATTTTGATGACTTATTTAAAGACTTTAACTTTTTTGGTCAAAACCAAAATTCTCGATCTAAGAAGCATTTTGAAAATCACTTCCAGACACGCCAGGATGGTTCCAGTAGACAAAGGCACCATTTCCAGGAGTTTTCTTTTGGAGGTGGATTGTTTGATGACATGTTTGAAGATATGGAAAAAATGTTTTCTTTTAGTGGTTTTGACAACACCAATCAGCACACAGTACAGACTGAAAATCGATTTCATGGATCTAGTAAGCACTGCAGAACTGTCACTCAAAGAAGAGGAAACATGGTTACTACGTATACTGACTGTTCTGGACAATAGTGGGCCCTTTTTTTCTGTTGTCACTAAAACCATCTTGTTGACTTTTCCTCAATATCTTTGATGAAAAAAGTTTTCTGTGAATTGCTTTGACAAGTGCATGATTTCGCTTTAAGCAATTTGATATAGCTATTACATATATTTAAGTTATTCTAACATTCAACATTCAGTAGACAAAATGTAATATTAATTTTCCTTAATAGGAATTTTTTTATAAAAAGAATTCTGCCAAGTCATTTTTCTTTACCTACCTTTGAGTTCCTAAAAGTAGCAAGTTTTAGTATCAAAAAGAAAGATTGAATTTGGGTGATACACATTTAAAGATTAAACTTTAAAAGAAATGAATTGTGTAAATTTAGATGATTTTTTACAGTAAAACATTTGCTAATACAAAATTGCATGCTTTGTGGCATCTGTTAATTCAGTTGCTAAATGTATATGAGATTGTATAATTGAGTCATTCAGCAAAGGAGATCAGTATGTTGGTTAATTACCACTAAAAGCTTTAGGAAAGGATGGTTTTATTTTTGCAACCAAATCATGCCTTTTCTATAGTAGAATTGGGGTAAAGGAAGTATATTGCTTATAGTCAGTGAAGCAGAAAAAGTTGAAAATTTGTGAAATATTGCCAAGAGATTGTTAGTGTGTGTAGGCCCTGAATAATGTTTTTTTTAAGATTGAAATTATAACTACTTACACATTTCCCCCACCTTTCTTTTTAACCCTATAGGTCTTCATACAAATTTATGTGGTCTTTTTTTGTGTGTACATAGTTCTTCCTCTTTGCACTTACCTTGGTCTAGAGATTGCACTTATCTTCATCTAATACCTCATTCTTTTGTAAAACCAGCCAGTAATTTCTGTGCAACCTTATTATGTGCAATATTTTAAAATCCTAAGACGTGTGTATTTTGGTTTTTAGATAGACTTATTTCTTTAGTTTGGCACTTTTCCACATTATACTCCATATGAGTATTAATCCTTTGGATGCACATTAAAACTAGTAATGTCTCATACAACATTGTGTGTGAGTGAGAGAAATATAAATATTTACAACCTGATACTCTCTGTTGTCATTTATTGTTAAACATTTCATAATGAAAGTCTAGAGGCATAGAGGACATAACTAGTGGGCCATGTGTTGATCATAGGTCATAGTCCCTATGAAGTCATTTGTCTGACCTGAAAACTCTGATAGGTCATTTTTTTTTCTTTTTACCATTATTTTCATTCTTACCCTTGGTAGCATAGTGATTTTGTAACTAGTTTTAGTATGTTTGCCACCAACTAGTTGGCAGAATTGGTAGTGTTCTGTCACCAGTTCTTTACTATTTAAGCCTTGGTTAACAAAAAGATTAGCTAGCCGGGCGCTGGTGGCTCACGCCTGTAATCCTAGCTACTCAGGAGGCTGAGATCTGAGGATCGCGGTTCAAAGCCAGCCCGGGCAGG